GCCAAAACGATAAGTGCGCAGTTTGGTTGCGCAGAGAAAACTTCTTGTTTCACAGACACAAGTTTTCAACATCTGTTTTTTACATATCATCTCCACAAAAACCTACATATCTCAGCTCAGAAATGACATACAAGCCTAAATGAGGTACCATTGGAAAGAGATTGTTTACAGCTATCTAACTGTGCTGGTTTTATTGTGTAGAGGGCATTTTGAAAATTTGACTAAAGTATCTAGTCTTGACTGACTGAAAAACCAGAGCTGAGGCTGCTGCAATCAGGACATGCTTGTAAAAGCTTAGTCACTATCAGCAGATGACATGCAGTTATGCATCCAGCTGCATATAGGTTGTGTATGAGCCTATGCTCTTCCCTCCCATGACTGTAAAGGGTGGAAAGTTATAGGATCGCATATATAATAGGTTGTTTTTTCTCTATGTGTCTTTACCGGCTGTAGACTGGTAGAAAGCCCTGGTTGTTCGTCCACGTTTGAACTTTTGAATCTTGTTCCAGAACTCAAGCTTTGAATGCACATCCATTTTACAGATCTGTCTTAACTGTATGCAGACTGTTTGTTTCTCATGTCTCAGGCAGATGCACTCTAACTTTGGAGGAAGCATCTCCAATTAGTCAACTTTTACTATATGCTTGGGGGGGGGGGGGGGGGGGGGGCGGGGGGGGGGGGGGGGGCATTTTTTTTGTCCAGTGCTTAAAGGTCTGCTTCTGTGGTTCATTAAGGATGCCTTACATTTTCTCCTGTTCCTGTAGGGAAGCTGCTGCACAGACATCATTAAATTTTGACTTCCATTAGAGGAAACAAGACAGAGTACTAAGTTTAGGATTTAAAGAGCTGACCGGCATCCATTCTGTGATGGAAACTGAGCCAGCATAATGCAATTGTAACACTCTCAGCTCCAAGGATCACTCACAATCAATAAGGAAGAGACTGCAAAGACTAGACAAAGTATGACAATGGAAGATGACAAGAGTAATGGAGGCAGACATTAACACCTAAGCGAAAATCCAGTAGGAAGAGTGCCTCTCCTTAAGGAGTGTTAGGTAGACAATGAGATGATGGGATCTCTCTCTCCCCCCCCCCCCCCCCCAATGGGGTCCTGGAACCCACACAGGAAGACGAAAGTATTAGCACCCAAGTGAAAAAAAAATCGGTAAGAAAGACTTACAAAAGCCGATGTGGCAGCACTGACAACTACTGGTGATACTTGATACTGCTGACCTCCTCGTCCATGAGCTGGGGTGGGGACAGATACCTGGCGTCCTTCTGTCTGTCGCTGGGCAGACACACTTGCTGGGGAAGCACCTGGGGTACTGGCTTTCTGAGACCTGCCAGGTGGAAAACAAACATCAAGGGTTAAGATTTAAAGAACATGTAATCTAAGGAAAGGCAATAGTGAATGGTTATGTATGTTAACAAGAATAAAGAGAATGAAATCTTAGGGTAAGGGACAGTAGTTATTTTAGCAGAAATCAGAATGGAATTTGATGAGAAAAGATAGCATAACAGGAAAGAAGTGGTTCTGAGGAGAAGGGATGGTGGTTACGTTAACCTAAAATGAAGTTAGTGGGATCTGAGGAGAAGGGATGGTGGTTACGTTAACCTAAAATGAAGTTAGTGGGATCTGAAGAGAAGGGATGGTGGTTACGTTAACATAAAATGAAGTTAGTGGGATCTGAGAAGAAGGGATAGCGCCAGCGGATTAGAGAGCCAAGATTATACTACAACAACGAGGTTGTGCAATGTTCCATGAAACTAGCCAAGAAGTCAGGTGTGTTACCTGATAGGCAAAAAATACTTTAACCAGAAAGAGGCACAACACATTTTACATCCCGGGACAAACTGAATGCAGCCAAATCAACTCACCTGGGATGTGAGGGTAGTGCCGATGGCTCTGCAGCATACGACAAAGACTGTGGTTCGGATCTGACAGATCTTGACTCCGCTGAGTTCACATCTGTATCCACATCATCCTGTGAAGATGAAGTGGCATCATCGTCCAGCGGTGAGTCTCCATCATCCAGACTACGAGTATCAGGGGTGATCGAAGCTGAAACTCCATGGTGCTGGCCAGCTGAGGTTGCAGATGTTAACGATAAGGGAACAGGGGTTGGCACAGGGCTCGGGGTATTTGAAGAAGCTCTCTGTGTCCCCGAGTTACCGAGGCCAGGTAAGCGAGACACACCTCGCACAATGTCCGACATCCTACTTTCGTATGAAATTTCCAAACTGGCTATACTATTCTGTGAGAAGAAACAAAAGATAATGTCACACATAATCAACAAATGGTTACAGAAGAAACAGAATCAACAACTGGTTATATGTACAAAACAAAGCAAAAAAAATTATGGTTTCATAAAAAGTGAAACCACTGGTTAAATGTAAAACATAAGGAAAAAAATAGTTACAAGAGAAACAGAATCAACAAGTGGATAGTGGCGCGGTGATTTATGTCACAGACGTGAGGGAAAGTTAAGTCCAACATGATGTGTATAAGGAGATACCCGTACGTCACTCGGGCGCCAGTCCTTCACTGTTCTTGTTTTATGGAACCTCACGCAAGACCCCTGCAGCACGTTCTCGTCGTGCACCACGGATAATGTCTCAAATGAGCATTAACAGAGCTGTCAGGGAATCTCGGAGTTTGGCGACCAGAGGTGATGTGTCCTTGTGGCTCTCATCAGACCCCCCCCCCCCCCCCCCCCCCCCCCCCCCCCCCCCCCCCCCCCCCCCCCCCCCAACGCATGGGTGAAAAAGGTTATCAAAACCCATTAGGAACATGAGTAAAGTGCTTGCCAAATGTACAACTAAAATTACAACCCTTGGTTAAAAGATTGCGGAGTGAAGAGAACATTGTTCTGCTGAGACTCAACCCTTGACCTAGAGATTTACCCGCAGCACAGACGAGTAACATCTCCTGTGGGTGGCGTCTCGCAGCAAGATTTTACCCATGTACATCCTCTATTAACCCTCAGTGTTGTCGTCACCGCGCTGAGGTACACCACAATAGTAACAGCCCATTGGCTGGCTAAGCCTAAATGTCTGACAAAACTAGATCCTATGGCACACGAGTAAGCTCAAAATCCGACCATCACAAATCGTATTGAATGGGAAAAAGTCCAAATGTCCACACCCAAAGACCCCACTCGCCCGAGTGTTGGGACCAAACAGAAAACGATATGCCTGACGCAGGATTTTAAATTCTGTCGTGCTAATGGCTCGTCAAAGATATCTAACCTGCGAAGAAAAAGAATGTACCTATTCGTGTGGTCACAAAAATCCAGAACCCGCGGGCTGCTCCCCGCTGATTTCCAGAGGGCGCAGCCTTTGTCGAGCGTGAGGCCTAATACGGTTGTGAGGTTAAGCAGGCATGTGCAGGACGTGACCATTCCTTGGGTGAGCCCAGAACCAGAGCGCCATGTGCCGGCTCTGCATACATGGAAGCCTCCTTGGATGGCGGGGAATGCCCATGATCTTCCCCTGCCTTCCCTTGAGGGCTAATCATTCCACAAGGGGCTGCCCCAAAGGGAGTACTCCAGGGGCAATACCTGTGGAGAAGGCGACAAAGAGGACACCACACAAATCAGGCAACGTCTCGACCCACACAAAACAATGGCCACAGTCATCCTAGAAATAGGCCTGACGTCTTCCCTCGAAGTCGGAGCACATCTGCCCGCTAGGCAGTGAACAGCAAAACGGCTGTACACGCAAAACTCAGGTCCAGGTAAAAGCCAAAAGTCCAAGCGGACGATTAACTGGGACCTTCCGCCGGAATTTACAGCCAGTGAACGAAGAAGAAGAAGTGGATAAAGGAGAAATAAAATCAACAAGTAGTTACAGGAGAAATAGAATGACAAGTGTTTAAAGGAGAAACAGAATCAACTGGTTAGAGGAGCAAAAGAATCAACTGGTTACCGGAGAAACAGGATCAACAAGTAGTTAAAAGAGAAACAGAATCAACTGGTTAGAGGAGCAAAAGAATCAACTGGTTACCGGAGAAACAGAATCAACAAGTAGTTAAAAGAGAAACAGAATTAACAAGTGGTTACAGGAGAAACAGAATTAACAAGTGGTTACATGAGAAAAAGAATTAAGTGGTTACATGAGATATAGAATCAACAAGTGTTTACAGGAGAAACTTAATCAACAACTGATTACAGGAGAAACAGAATCAACAAGTGGTTACAGAAGAAATAGAATCAACTAGTAGTTAAGGAGGAACAGAATCACTTAGTTACAGGAGAAACAGAGTCAACAAGTGGTTATAGGAGAAACAGAATCAACTAGTTACAAGAGAAATATAATGAACCATTCATTGCAAGAATCAATAACTGGTTACAGGAGAAAAAATATAAACTTGTTACATGAGAAAAAGAATAAACAACCGCTTACAGAAGAAACAGAATGAACGGTTATTAAAAGACACACAGATAAACCATTTACTAGAAGAAAAACAGAATCAACAGCTGGTTACAATAGAATTATAGCAAAGTATTTACACAAGAAATATAATATGAATCAGTTACAAGTGAAAAAAAAAAAATGAAATGTTGGTTATATGAATTAACATTAAAAATATAATAAACCACTAGTTGCAATAAAAACAGAATTTTCAAACTAGCTATACTGGTGGGGGAGGGGGGGGGGGGGGGGGGGGGGGGGAATAAGAATATACCAGTTATAAAAAAAAAACCATATAAGCACTGATTACAAGAGACAGAAAACCACTAGTTATAATAGACATAAGAAGCACTGGTTACGAGAGAAATAATTAATTCTGACAATATAAACTGATATTTACAAGAGAAACAACCACCGTTTAAAGAGAAACTGAACTGACGTTTAAAAAAGGAGTATAAACTAACAATTAAAATAAAATAATAAATGGGAAAAAAATGGTTTGCCTTTAAACACATCCCCAACACAAAACATATAATTTGGTCAATACCAAAAAAAAAAAAAAAACAATGACCAAACAGGCAACTTACTAATGCTCCAGGTAGAGGAGGAAAAGAATTGGCCTCCATAGTAAAGTTGTCAGCGGCTGCTGGAGTTTGAGAACCAAAGCTGGCTCTATTTGACTGGTTCCGCTCTGAGCGCTGAAATGCGGACATAAAAACTGACAATGGGCAATGCAAGCAATTGATTTTATCTCATAATACTAGGTTTTTATGCTGTTACTTTATTGGTTAGTTCTGTCTTATTTTGTGTTTTTAGTTCTCATTTGTTGATGATGAAGGCACATCATCGCCTTTCTGTTTTTCAGTGTCAGATTCTGTTTTTTTTTTTTTTTTCAATGTCAGGTTTTGAAGAGACATCTGGTGCGAGCCTTGATGTATGCTGCATGGATGCTGATCTGTTCAGCCAGCCACAGATATTTCATCTTTCAATTGCTTGTGTCAGCGTTCTAGAACTGCTTCCACTGTATTAAAACGACAGTGCTTTCTGTGTTGAACTGTTGTGTGGCAGTCCCCGGATTTAGCCAAACCATTTGACCTGTTGTCTGATGATGCAGTTACACTTTGCCAAACCATCTGACCTGTTGTCTCATGACATAGACTTAGTTAGCCAAACCATCTGACCTGTTGTCTCATGACGCAGTTAGACTTAGCCAAACCATTTGAACTGTTATCTCATGAGGCAGTAAGACTTAGACAAACCATTTAACCTGTTGTCTCATGGTGCAGCCAGACTTAGACAAACCATTTGACCTGTTGTCTCATGATATAGACTTAGCTAAACCATTTGACCTGCTGTCTCATGACATAGTTTAACACTGGTTCCATCCCTAATTATATCCAATGGGAGCCACTATAGTGTAGTAACTAGATGCTCGCCTGCGGACCCAAAGGTCAAGGGTTCAGATCCTGTTTAGGCCTTTTTTTAAATATAAAATGACCTTGACCCAGCCTTAAAATGGGTATCACGCCAAGTCCTGGGAAATAAAGGTGGCAGAGTGCCGACTGGACTATAAAATATAGGTCTAGACAAGGATATCTGTTATAAAAGCTTTACACACATTTTTGTGACATTATTTCCTTAAGTGAACGCAGAATGGAGTCCCATGTGTTAGGTTTTATTTTTGTCGTCACTGAGTAACAATAATAAGTAATTTTACCTTTACTTTTGATTTACTTCAAGTCATGTTTTCTTGGAACAGATTTAATAAGTTCCTCGTGTGATTCTCTTTGGATTTATGTTCAATATGTTGTGTTTTCACGGAGTAGCATCTCAAAGGTGAAAAGGAAAAACATTGCAAATTCTACACTGTATGTCCTATGATCCCTTTGTTAACTACTAGTATAGTATACCTTATAATATATCTGATATTAACATTTTATAATTTAAATACTACAAATAAAAATATGGACTCCCATTCGCAAACAGTGCGAAAAAACTGGGTGGACAAGAAACATATTTTGAAAATCCTGTTTAGATAAGAAAAATATTGCAAACATACTGGATGGACAATTATAATATCGCTAATATACTTGGAAGACATGAAGAATATTGCTAATATACTGGGTGGAAAAGAAGAAAGAATATTAGGGATAGCAAAATAATACTAGGGATCAAGCAACTACACTATGATGGCTCCCAGGATAGCCTGGTTGGCAAGAAGAATATTGCTAATATACTGGGTGGACAAGAAGAATACTGCTAATATACTGGGTGGACAAGAAGAATACTGCTAATATACTGGGTGGACAAGAAGAATACTGCTAATATACTGGGCGGACAAGAAAAATATTGCTAATATCCTGGTTGGCAAGAAGAATATTGCTAATATACTGGGTGGACAAGAAGAATACTGCTAATATACTGGGTGGACAAGAAGATTACTGCTAATATACTGGATGGACAAGAATACTGCTGCTGACATCCTGGGTAGACAAGAAGAATACTGCCAATATACTGGATGGACAATGAAAATTTTGCCAATATACTGGGTTCTCAATTTTTTCCCCTCATATAATTATACGAACCATTTCTACACACTGTGATATAAGCGTACCAGGCACAGTTAAAAGGGGACTGGTATGGTGTTGTTAAGAGGGCACTGAGTGCCCCACACCCCCAAACAGGACCCTGAAACCCACAGAGATAAGGTAGACTATGAAAGAAAAGGGAAGAAGGAGAAATAGTAGAAGATCATAACATCATGAATTACCTGATTTCTGACACTATCTTCCCTTTTCCTTCTGCCTCTTCTGAAAAATATAACACTCAAATTTAAAGTGGATGAACAAATAATGGATGTATTGAGCAAAAAACATTCACTTCATTTGCACCTTTCTGTGTTTCTTCTTCTTCTTTGCATTCACTGATTGTAAATGCGACCAGAAAATTCTGGTTGTTCATCCACTTCTGGACTTAAGCACTGTCCCAGGATTGAGTTTTTGCATGCACATCTGCTTGAAAGATCTGGCTTATGCAGACTGTAGGTTCCCTGCCTCTCAGGCAAAAGCACTCCTACAATAAAGGAACTCCAAATTAGAATATAGCATGCTTGTTATAGAGGCAGTGGCCAAAATCCTCCCACCTCCAACAATGCAGCCCTGGGACCCACATGGGTATCTATCAGTCCAAATGACAGTCATATACTGTGTTACAGAGCGGCTTACTTCAAAGCTGGAGTGCATCTGCCTGACAGGCATGGAACCAACAGTCTGCATACAAATGAGTCAGATCTGTAAACCGAATGTCCATGCAACATATTCTGGAACAGGACAAGAGTTCAGAAGTAGTGGAAAAAACCAGAACTTTCCGCTGGAGTTTACAGCCATTGAAATGAAAAAAAAAAAGAAGAAGAAGAAGACTACAATGACCCTAAAGAAACTATGTGTGTGTGTCTGAGACCAACCTGGATGACACCTGATCCAGAAGGAAAATTCTGACAGGCAGGCAAGCAGGCAGGGCACTGGACTTCTGACCCGGCAGCTTCTGCTGTCTGCTTAACTTTAAAGGTATTGGTGTTACATTTCCTCTGGATTAAACAAAGCAGTCCGAGTGAAGGATCATGCAGCATGGGTAATATAGTCTCTACAACACTGCCCAGGCTTTGTGTTATGGGGAGGAGGAACTTCATCCTTGGACTTAAATGGTAATGGTCGGTTGCCCATCACAATGGGCTGGGATTCCCATGCCTCCCTACAGCACAAAACAACACTATCTTCCAGACAAATGCCAACTGAAACAACACACGTGTGAGAGAGAGACCGACAAAGATTTGTAACAACTGCAGGATAAACAATGATTATGGGTTTGTCTACGTGGAATGAGAGTAATCCAGATGCTTTGAAATAGGCTAAAACCTGAAAATGGCTTACCAGTTTGCAAAATTTATCTATAGAGAGACAGAAAAAGAAGATTTCCAATATAATTTATTTTTCTACGGCATCGAAAAGTGTCTGCAAATGAACTTTATGCCAGCAAACACAGGTTTACAAATTATATACACAGGCACAATAACATGTACAGATACAGGCATACAGACAGACATAAACAAACATACATAGCCATGCACACACACAAACACATACATATGCACACTGACAAATACTCATACAGAGACATAAATTTATCCTGTCATACATACACACACACACATACATAAATTCAATATATGTGTGTGAGAGAGAGAGAGAGAGAGAGAGAGAGAGAGAGAGAGAGAGAGAGAGAGAGAGAGAGAGAGAGGGGGGGGGGAGGGGGAGAGAGAAGGGGTGGAAAAGGGGAGAGAGAGAGAGAGCAAAGGGGGGGGGGATGTGAGGAAGAAAAAGAATGCATGTTTGATACTTGAAAATAGTTACCTCTCTGTGCGATTGTTGCTCAGTGGTGGTTGCTGATGCTGCTGCTGATGGTGTAGCTGTGAAGGAGGTACTGGATGATGCTGTTGTTGGGGGGAGTGGTGATGCTGATGGTGGGTGGCCATCACGCCGTGTTGATTTGGATGCGAGTGGTGGTGCTGGTGAACAGCCTGTTGCGGCTGCTGCTGGTGGTGGAGAGTTTGTGGTGGCGGCGGCAACGGTTGCTGATGGTGCTGACTACTGTGCTGGGCCGCCGGGTGATGGTTCTGGTGATGTTGCTGCTGTTGGTGGTGGTGCACCATTTGCTGTTGCTGCTGGTGGTGGTGTTGCTGCTGGGGCAACATCGGAGGCGGCAGGCTGTGGTGGTGATGATGCATCTGTTGTTGGGCGCTGGGAGGTGGAGGATTGCTGGTGGTCTGTGGTGTTGCGGAAGGATGAGCTGGGGCAGTGTGCACGATGACCGACTGTTGGTGGTGCTGGGGCGCTGCCTGGTAGTGTGGCATAACCATCGGCTCCATAGCCACCTGGCCAACCATTGCCGCAGAAGATGAAGATGATGCCAGGTGTTGCTGCTGCTGCGGGGTCACAAGAGGAGTGACAAAGTGATGAGCCACAGACTGTTGTTGGGACATCCCCTGTGGAGTTATATCCTCTCGGCCGGTGGTGCGGCGTGGCAGATACGCCCCCTGTGCAGCAACAGCAACTGGTGCGCTGCCTTCAATACCTCGAGGGCTGGATCTTGATGATCCGGTCACTGACACAACCGGGGGTCGTTCGCTGGGGCGTTCTGAAGCACTCCGTTCTAGATTGTTCTGTCGCATACGTTGAGGTCTGCTGAAGATAGGAAATAAGTAAAGAAAAGAACCCTGCATCAGGCGTATAACGCTGGACTCACGTTATTACCTCTTCCAGTCCCGAGAGCGGCACACTGTGATTTACAGACAGGCTGTCTTCCTCTTCCTCCAGCTGCAAAGCTCGAGCTGAAATTCATTGCTTTTTTTTTTTTTTATCTGGACTAACTTCGAAGATCAGTAGACTCCAATACATGTTGAGGAGGCAGCAGGTTTATTCTTGTTTTTCCCCATAATGGAACCTCAGAACCAACACTGAAATTACAGGCTGTGATTGCATCTTTCAGCAAATCCTAAATCAGCCCCATTTTACAATGGCTTGTTAAACAGCAATCTGTCTATTCTAGGAGAACCCACAGGGTAAAAGAAATAAAAATTGACCCCCCCCCCCCCCCCCCCCACCCCAAAAAAAAAAACACACACACACATAATAACAGAATTAAAGACAGAGGAGTGGCACAATAAACGCATGTCATAGACCACTTGGAGTGGATAAGAAAAGGATGTCAAGAAACTGCAACATCCCAGCTGATACAACTGCCCCAGATGCGAATGAAGATTAGACTGACTAAAGCAAAGCTGCAAAGAGCCTCACGCTCTGAATGTCATGGGTTAATTCCAGGGATGAGACATTCAGTTCACGAGATCAGTTTTTACAAAGATCCCTAGACACTGTGTACTTGAGGCTAAAGCTCTGGGTAGGTGGTTAGCATTTTGTGAAGAGACTGAGCTTTATGGGATAATCCTGTGGATGAAGTCATTCCTCACACATTTTTACCACTATACAATTAAATATTTAATTCCCTTTACACCACTGGAGTGATGAATAATCTATACAATTAAATATTCTATTCCCTTTTCATTGCTGGAGTGCTAAATGATCTATACAATTAATTATTATATTCCCTTTACACTGTTGGAGTGCTGCATGATCTATAATTGCACCACTGTGTAAAAAGACACCAACACCAGCCTGCTGACAGCAGCAGTGAGACAGCTTGTGATAGTATGGAGTAGGAAGGAGGAAGGACGTACAGAGAAAGCATCAGAGACAGTAGGAAGTAGGCAGGAGGAAGGACGGGCAGAGAAAGCATCAGACAGAGGTAGGTTGTTTGGAAAAGGAAGGAGGAAGGACGGGCAGAGAAAGTATCAGACAGAGGTAGGTTGTATGGAAAAGGAAGGAAGAAGGACGTGCAGAGAAAGCATCAGACAGAGGTAGGTTGTTTGGAAAAGGAAGCAGGAAGGACGGGCAGAGAAAGCATCAGACAGAGGTAGGTTGTATGGAAAAGGAAGGAGGAAGGACAAACAGAGAAAGTATTGGACAGAGACGGACACCATGCAGCAGAGAGGAGGAAGGATGGATAGAGAAAGCATCAGAGACAGACACAGAGAGACGGGGGGCTGGCCTGGTCACCTGTTATTAAAGCGATGCTGAGCACCTGCACCTGTAGGAATCAGATGTGGTCTAGACAAAGGTGTTCGTACATGCTGTGGCTGGAGTCCATTGTTTTGCATAATCTGTAGAAGGAAAAGAGAGATATTAACTACCATAAACAAATGTCAGTTGGAAAACAGATGTCATTCTTTGCTGTCCCCATATTCTGACACACAGAAACAACGGACAGAATCTTGTGAAAATCACAATGGCGTCCCGACGTTAATGAAAACAGTTTTCAACTACCCTTTTAAGGTTACCAACCAAACCAGCCATCCCACTTGCGCCACTGGCTTCAGAGAGAAAGAGAGAGAGAGAGAGAGAGAGAGAGAGAGAGAGAGAGAGAGGAGTGCACTGGGGAGGATACTAGCCATATTCTAGGTTGAGGAAATGCTATCTGAAAACTCAAATACATTGGCAGGGCAGACCAGGATCTTGACCTTGGTTGGCAGCTGGTCTAGGAGGGAAGCTCTGATAGTTGGATAGTCAGAGCTCTGCTCTTCTGATCTGGCAGGGAAGCTCTGATAGTTGGATAGTCAGAGCTCTGCTCTTCTGATCTGGCAGGGAAGCTCTGATAGTTGGATAGTCAGAGCTCTGCTCTTCTCATCTGGCAGGGAAGCTCTGATAGTTGGATAGTCAGAGCTCTGCTCTTCTGATCTGGCAGGGAAGCTCTGATAGTTGGATAGTCAGAGCTCTGCTCTTCTGATCTGGCAGCTTCTGCAACATGCACTGTGTTATCATCCAAATGTGTTAGTGTTACCTTTTTTTTTTAAGAGCTAAAAAGGCAGGCTGAGAGAGGGATCTTGAACATGGACAACAATGTCTCTACAGTACTGCCCTGGTTTGATGCTACAGAGAGGAGAAACTTCTCAACACTACTATCTGACAAGAGAGAAAAGTACCAACAACATAGGCACCAACTCTGAAAAACAAGAGTCAGTCACTCCAGTCAGAGCACTTCCTTCATTACAAAAGACTGGTTCTAACTATCATTAACGAAAGTGAAGGACCCTTTTCCACACTTTCAGGCATTGAGTGCTGGACTTATATTTTATGATTAGACGAGGTGCAACTTGCAAGGCATCTAGAAGAAGAAAAGCCAGCCGAACAGAGAAGGCACGCTAGAAAGTCCCGTGTAACAGGCCCTTTTATCAACAGCTACTGTTGCCTGTCCTCCTTGCCTTAGATCCTTCTGAGCCTATTACTGGGCTTACATCTCACCTCCAGACTCTTAGATAATCAATTATAGTTTCATGAGAGAACAACACTTGTAATAGATGAACAAGTGACTATATAGAAGAAGTGGCGCTCAGTGCATGATATGACCACCTTTACTTCCCAGCACTTTATCTGGACTCATTTAAGGCTGGCTCAACATGGGAGCCTAAGTAATATTTTAAAGAAAAAAGTACAGCTTATTCAAATCTGAACCCACAAACTTTGAATCTAGTTTCAAAAAGGACAATTTTTTAGCTCTTCAGGCCCTAGACTCAATTTTATAGACCAATCAGTACTCAGTGGAAGATATGGTCAGTGTAATGTTGGTCACCTTTACTTCCCAGGATAGTTTTATACTGGACCGAGATGAGAATCAATTGTACATACTTCCCACAAGGCAGTTCAAACCCAAAAACATTCAGACAAATGTCTAGCAACTTCACCACCACAACTCCCATCACAGAATACTGTATTGTTCCGTGTATAAGGCCTCCCTCAATTTTTAGGTTTGAATTTGGGGTTAATCTTATACACTGAATGTGATTAAAATATTTTTTCTTACTTTTGTCTTTACAAAATAATAAAAAAGTGGTGGTGGGGGTGGGGGGAGAAGAGAAGGTACGGTATACACTTGCATTTAGTTAATAGACACATATTTACTGTCTCAACATCAAGTACAAGATAAACTGTCAATTTCTGTTATAAACATAACCCTTGGCCCCTTAGGGTCGTGGAGATGAGCTGATGAAAGCACTAGCACATAATACCTGTAATCTTTCTCTGTCTTTCGCTTGATGAATAAGTGTATGATAAGTTGGTCCTGTCTACTTCTTGGTTATGTCACACACACACACCTCCCCCCACAGGACAACGGGATATATATGTTATCTGTTTATGTAGTCTCTGTTCAAATTTACATAACTGCCTGAAATGCTGCTTTGATTACCAATTAAAAAATGTGTCGGCCGGCCACAAGGCAAAAACACCCTAACTTTCCTGCAAACAAGCACAATGCAATCAAACAACAAATAAATCCAGCACTTTCCACGGGATTCAAACCCAAGTCTCCCGAATGAGAGCCTAAACATTCTTAACCGTTCAGCCAGCCGGTCCTCAGTGCACTGGGTAAGTTTTAATACCTTTGTGATGACACATGTCACACCACACACACTTGAAATATAAAGGAAAAAAAAGGCAACCAGAACTAGACACAATGTTAGTTCAACACTGATGATGCCACAACACATAACAACCATGCCCCATGCTTAGACATGGCCTTGCAGCAACATTCAAGAGAAATCAGTTGACAAGTACAATTTTCATTGAGGCTGGGTGAGTACAAAACTCAAGTACTTCACACCAGTGTCTCCTTATCGGGCATGTGATGCTGGACTCAATATTATAGGCCACTTGATGGTGATGTGACTAAAACTATTTACTGGACACCTTTACTTTCCTGGTCTGCCTGATACCCGTTTTAGGCTGGGTTGACCTAAGGGCCAGGACTAGTAGTCAAAGTGTAAAACAGAGGTGATCTATGGGAGGAGACTGAGACACTTTTGAAGATATATGTGTGCAATAGAGAGGGATCTTCTACCAAACCAAACCAAAACAAGAAATATGGAAAGACCTAGTTAGCAATTGGATTTAAATGCTTCCTCTCTCTCTCACGCACACTGCTCTAGAAACTGTTTAGGAAATTATCAAAACTATCAAACTGAAAGACCATTTAAGACAAAGATGTTGGAAGAACTACTGAATTCAGTGATAAATAAAAACTGAAATGGTTTGGCCACCTAGTGAGAATGAGTCCAAAGATACCAACAACAAGAGCATACAACCTGAAAATGGACACATAAAGAGGCAAAAGAAGACCTTGAAGAAGAGGGGTTAGTGTTTCCTGAAGTAAGGTCCCATGGGGTGTGGTGGTGGAGGGATGTGAATCTGGAAATTGACTTACCCAGAGTGTTAAGTTTCATGGTGGGGGGGGGGGGGGGAGGGGGGGGGGTTAGAAAAGCTTAGGTGGGGTGTCGGCATCTGTGGCTTAAGCGTTGCGAATGTGCTTCATAATGCTGGGGTAAATCCCAGCTGAGTACATTTTTTCTTGCCTTGGTTTGGACAGTGGTATTGAGAAGCTGACCATTCAGAAAGCAATGGCAAACTACTGAATGTAAATTTGCCTTTAAAAAAACACAACAGCCAAAAAAAATGCTGAGGTTGATTCTGCAACACCCTGTAAAGGATGCGCAACTAACTTTTTTTTTAGGTGGGACATGACACAAAATGTTTGGGAAATACTGGTCTAAGAAGACTTCACAATATTCAGCGCGCCAAGGAAACTGAGCAGGTAATGGCTGGGCTAAGTGTTATCTGTTAGAACTTCACTGCCTACCACTACACAGCAGATACTGACAAGGGATGTCTGACATATTAAAACCACCAGTGCCACACACATATACAAAGCAAGGTGACAGATACTAGTTAGTTGGTTATGTTATCTGTTCACCACTTATCTACTTTATGCTGCTAGATGGAGAAGTTAACAACAAGAGACTTCCAGCCCAGACAAGATCTAGAAGGAACAAAATCAATCTAGACATAAAAGAACAAACACAATTCTCCTCAACAACTAAATATACAATATAAACAAATCACAAATGAAAGAACCAACACCAATCTACCATATACCTAATTAGATACTGAAGATAAACAAATCATAAATGAGAAAAAATATATATAATTCTATTTTATACCTGATCAGGTATTGAAAATAAATAAATCATAAATGAAAAAAAAAAAAAAACATAAACATAGACTATACAAAGTTTAGGCAGAGAAGATAAATAAACTATAAACAAAAAAAAAGCAAACATAAACCTATACTATATCTAATTAGACAGAGAAGATAAATAAACCATAAATGAAAGAACCAACATAAACCTACACTATACCTAATTAGACAGAGAAGAAAACTAAATCATAAATGAAAGAACAAATATAATATAAACCTTCAGTATACTAAATTAGACAAAGAAGATAAATAAATCATTAATGAAAAACCAAAACAATTCTTCCCTATTATTAATTACATACTAAAAATTAAAAACAAACAAATCGTAAGTGAAAAACCAATAGAATTCTACCCTGCAACTAACTAAATACCAAAGCAAAGAAACATAAATCATAAATGGAAGAACCAACACAACTATACTCTACAAAAAATTTGGCCCTAAACTGACAAATATAGACAACAGAAGTGTGGAACTTCAACCCTACAAATACAGCAGCTGGTGGTGGTGGTGGTGGAGGTGAAAGTTCCTGAAATGTGGTTGGGTTAAGTAGAGAGCACACCATGCCAAAGCCGGGCAGTGGTTCATGCCTCTACCTGCTGGCTAGCTGCTCGTCTCTGCCTGTATGCCATGCAGATGGCCTCAATACTCACTAATCCAGGGTCCATGGCCGGTGTGGGTGTGGGCCAGCTCTGGATCATTCCTGTCATGTATGGCCCCATGTAGGGGCCCTGGGGTGTCTGTAGACAGAAAAACAACAGAATCAGACAGATACTCAGAGCAAGGTTTTGTTGTGAAGTTAACGTTTCCCAGTATCAAACAATTCATAAAGTGTCTCTTTTTAATTCTAAAGATAATGGAGAGGGGGAGGGCTGATGACTTCAAATGAAAAACCTTAAAAGTGTGATAGAAATTACAATAACCAAGGCCATTGCCTTGTAACCTGTCAGTATAGTTGAGGATGTCAAGAGTGTTAAGCATGTGACATCACAGTATAAATAAACAAGCTGATGTCATAATGACAGTTTTGAAATGGTAGCCCCACTTTTGACATGCACCAAATAAGAGCAGCGTTCTGGATCAACCCCTCAGTGATTTTAAAAAAAAAAACTGCTCCTCTTTGGTGCATGTCAAAAGCAGGAAAGCCCATCTTTACACTGTCATTATAACATCACTGTGTTTGTCTGATCAATAATGTCATGTGTTTTACATTCTTGACATCCTTAACAACAATACTGGCAAGTTACAAGGCAATCGCATGGTTATGGTAATCCCACCCCCCCCCCCCACCCCCCCCCCCCCCCCCCCCCCCCGGTCATATTTTAAAGTTTTCATTTGTAGCCCCTTTGGTTTTGTCATCTTTTATCATAGACATGTTTTAAATATTAACCCTTTGTATTTGAATGATTAGTTTAATTACTTCTGTCTCATGCTGTCTCTGTTCAACATCTTCAAACCTAAATGTTTATTGCTAAGTAAGAATTGCTTCATGCAGGAAGAGTTAAATAATGAGAACGCAAGGAGAACGTATAATTCATTGCCTAGCATATCTGACCATCTCATCAGTTAGGTACCCTAATCCTGCTGACTTTAAAGTACCCAATTCCTACTGACAGTTAAGTACCCCAATCCTGGTGACAGTGAAATACCCAAATCCTGGTGATAGTAAAGTACCCAAATCCTGGTGACAGTTACATATCCAAATCCTACTGACAGTTATGTACCCAAATCCTTGAGACCGTTAAGTACCTAAATCCTGGTGACAGTTAAACACCCAAATCCTACTGACAGTTAAATACCCAAATCTTTGCGACAGTTAAGTACCAATATCCTGGTGACAGTTAAATATCCAAATCCTGGTCACAGTTGAGTACTCAAATCCTACTGAGTTGTAAGTAACCAAATCCTGGTGACAGTTAAGTACCAAAATCCTGGTGACATTTAAGTACCAAAATCCTGGTGACAGTTAAGTACCCAAATCCTACTGATGTTAAGTACCCAAATCCTGGTGACAGCTGAGCACTCGAATCCTGCTCACAGTTAAATACTTAAATGCTGCTGAAATTAAGTACCTGATCTTGCGTCCAATCCACACCAGAATGGATTTGGTAAAATATATATAACCGACTCTGGCTCTCAGGCCGACCAAGCCTAAATTGAATAACAGGAAATATCCTGGAAAGTAAAAGTGGTCATTTGGCTGTTGATCACATCATTAATCAAGTGCCGACTGGTCTTTAAATATGAGTCTAGCAGCGAATGCCTGATTCAACACTGGAGTAAAAAAGCGTCATTGCCTAGGTATTACTGCTACCCGGCCTCAAGCACCACAATCTTCTTATAGTCCGTGTGATATGGCGATGGTACTCATGTCTATACACAACCGTCTATCTCATGAACTTTTTTAATGAATTAAACACAGATGATCTTCCATGCCATGGTGTCAAACTGTCTTAGCATCTCTCTCTCGGTCTCTCTCTACCTCTTTTCAACTTTCCCACTGTCACATGTACTCCATGCCTTCATAAGGCCTTCTCTCTAAGTATGCAAACCATCTATTTGCTGTCTTTGTATGCAAAGATAAACCACATAATATATTCTTTTAATTCTGTAGAATGCCGCCTTTACTTGAGCTATTCTACATTTAACTTTTTTAATTAATCCACTTTTACCAGGGTACCACCTACCTGTTGGTAATAAATTCCAGCTGGCGAGCCTGCCATGTACGAATGAAGTTGCATGGTGCTAAATGGCTGCATCAGAGCCTGCGGCTGTTGAGGCTGTGGCTGTGCAATTGCACTCTGCACTGTATGAACTGGGGCTGCTGCCACCGCTGCAGCAGCTGCTGCGGCCTGGCTGTGATGAGCCATCCTGCGCTGATTGGATTCTTCGGATGATGGGAAGTATCCGGCTGCTGCTAGCGTTCCTGAGGACTTGATGCAACACTGAAAGCATGTCCATAGAAAAAAAATGAATCAGCTCGGTTACCCTGGTTGCCCCGAGAAGCCTAAATCTAGCTACTAATGGATGTGAAATAGTCCCTGTAAATGCACATGTATCAGCATTTCTGCAGTGATCCGCTATTGAAAAGCTTAGTCAAATGCCATTGGTACTATTAAATGCTACTGGTTCTGTTTGTGCCTGCACAGTGGTTACAAGGCACAGGTATGTATATATTTACAATGTTTCCCTATGATTGTGGTTTCTGCATATTTATTTAAAATAAAATTGTAAAATGTTTAAATACATGTTAACAAGAAATTTACTTTGTGACCTGCGTATAGTAGCTGCATTTTTTAAAAGAGTATTCTTGGAATTCCAATGAGTTGACTCTTTTTTAGCGTAAAAAAACCCACTGAATCTGTTAATTCAGGTAATCTTATTTTTGTTGTCTCACAGGTACCAGGTTGCAGCTAATGACTTGGCTTCAGTTAATGCCATTTAGTAAATGCTAAAAGTATTTCAAAGAAAAAATATACCTGACAAAAATATCCCCTGTGCAATATGACAACCTTGTTACATCTGGGGAAAAGACACTTCTCCCACTCACCCCAATGTTGTGATCCTTGTAGACCGCCTTCTGGTTGTGAAACTGGAAGAAGCTGTTAAGGGCTGCCGTCTCATCCTTGAAGCTGACGTACCAGACCGAATAGTTCTCCTTGTACATCACAAACTCTATGTGTGTCGGCACAGCTGCTCCCATCTCCAGAATAAACTGACGCACGTCCTTTTTTGTTTAAAACAAAACGTGTAAAGTATCAACACTTGGTAATTAACAACATAAACATAACATACAAATAAACAACAGAACCTTTCTAAAAACAGCAGGACAATATAAACGTGTCAGTAAATAGCAGGCCAACAGAATCATAACATAAAGATTAACAGAATCATATAAAATCAAAAAACATCAAGACAGCTGGAAAATAACAAACAACAGAAACTTAGCATAGTGATAAACATAAAAACAACAGAACCATTGAATACTGATAAATAGAAGAGTAACATAAACATAATATTTAGTAGAAGAAAAGAATCATAAATGAATAAACAGTATAACAGAAAAACAATAACAGAAATATAACAGGATAAATAGCTGTACTCCCCATGTGGGTTCCAGGGAAAACAAGAATGGACCCACCGCCTCCCCAGCAAAACAAGTCATAAGCGTCAACTAACTGGGGGCTTCCTTCGAAGTCGGAATGCATCTGCCCGACAGGCAAAGAACCAACAGTCAACATACAAATAAACCCAATCTGTTAAATGGATGTGCACACAATACTAAGGTTCTGGAAAAAGACTCCACAGATGGAGGGACAACCATAACTTCCCACTAAAAGAACAATGTTCAACACAAAATTCTTACCAACGCTACGATATCTATGTCAAACATGGACACTTGTCTTCAGAAGGCAGAAGGAAAGTAGTCACGACAGAAATAAAATGTTTACGCCCTGTACGAGGTGTAACAAGGAAAGATCGACTTAGGAACAATGATATCATAAGCAGAGTCGGCACGGAACCAATACTGAACTCTATAGGTAGACAACAAACCCAAAAGTTTATCCTTGTAACAAGATTGGCATCAGAGGGGAATGTTATACAGACACACCGTTAACAGAACCAGAGGTCGACCACGTAGAAGATGGACCTCAGAATTATCAGAGACACTGAAAAGTACTTTATACAAAGCAAACAGAAGGGCCCGTTCCAGAGATCACTTCCTGCCTTGACGCCGCGAGGTATTCCAGGAGTAGAGACAAAACGAAGAAGCACAGCAGAACAACAGAAACATCAATAAGCAATGAGAGGGAAGGACAGAGAAAGAGAGGGATGAGAAAGAGAGACAGAGGGGGTGGGAAGCATGGAAAATGTCCCTGTCTACACTGATAACACACTTACTTCTTCGGTTGCAGACACTGGGAAACCTCTTAAGGTTAGGGTTTTACGGCACTGGGATACCCTGACTCTTTTACGATCTTCAGAAAGTTCCAGAATGGAGCTCGCTGAAAGAGAAAGGTAATGTAATTACTATTACTGTCTCACAGCTTATATCTGTCAGCCATCTGTCCAGCTTAGGGTGACCATAATATCTCAAGCTAACAATGGGACGTCCCGCCAATATTCTGAGCAGAAACTGGGACATACCACTATTACATAGAGCTGAAAACGAGACAACCCAAAAGCAATACAGTTTACCCCCTCACTGGACAATAAAACTTACATTTATCAGCTGACCCACACTGAACACTTTTAATGTGTCAAGTATGAGTAATCTGTTAAATGTAAGTTGTAGTCAGCTGTTGAATATAACAGCTGACAACAAGTGACAACAAATGAAATTCAAAATAACCTACACATTACATTCAATAGCTATCCCATATTGGATACTTCAACCTACATTCAAAACTGACCTATACTGAAAACCACTACTTACATTCAACAGATGACCCACACTGAAAACAACTACTGACATTCAACAGATGACCCACACTGAAAACCACTACTTACATTCAACAGATGACCCACACTGAACCCTGCATTAAAACTGCTGACCCATACTGGACATACATTCATCAGCTGACCGACACTTTACACTACATTAAACAGCTGACCTAAAAAAAAGACACAACTTACATTCAACAGCCTGCATTAGCTGATCCAGGCTGTTGCAGATTGGTTTGATTCGGCCAAAGTCCAGGAACAGCTCCAAGGGAATGAACTTGTCCGAGTCCATATGTTGGTTGAGGAACTTGTCGTTTGGAAGATTTTCACTGTAAAACATTCACAAGGTGGACAATTTTGACTTCATTCAAATTTGACTAAGTCATTCAAAAAGAGGAACATTTTTATAATAAAACATTCAAACATGATAATAGGGACACTAAATACGGCACTAAAAAATTTATATGCAAGATTCTGGAAGGGGTCAATATTTTCTTTTTCTTCTGCCCTCTATTTCCCGGTGGAGCATGGGCCCTCAACCAGCTAGTGCCAGGTTGTCTCATCTTTTGCTATCTCATACACCTCCATGCCCTTCCATCTTTTGTTTTTTTAACTTCACTCTTTAGTTCCCATCTTTCACTGTTTTTTTTTTGGTATGCCTTTATTTCTGTGTTGGCATATGTGAAATACACATTGCAAACAGGTTTGGTAATTTGATAATACCCAGTTCCATTTCAGCTAAAGGTGCTTTGCATTGATTTCCAAAGCAATGGCAAACTACTGAACGTAAAATTGTCTAGTAAAATCATAAACAGACTACCAACTCCCCCCCCCCCCCCCACCCCCCTCCCATCATTAAAAAAAAACAACCATGGAGTTAGTTCTGCAATATACTGTAAAGGATAGGTAGATAATTTAAAAAACAAATTTATATTTTTATTTCAGTGTAAAGACATTTTAAGTTATATTGTTCTCAGGTTTTACTCACATCGGGTAAAGTAAATATATTTCCCATGTGTGTTATGAGACCCCGTTTTGTGAGAAATAAAGTCGGAGTTCACCTGCCTCAGAGGTGAGGAACCAACAGTCTGCATATAAATAAGCCTGATGTGTAAAATGGATAAGTTGGCAAAATTCAAGTTCTAGAACAAGACAAAGTGGTGAACAAAAAGAACTACTGCATAAGTTTACAGCTGGTGAGTGCTAAAAAGAAGAAGTCAATATTTTATTGCTATATTTCCTCCCCAAAGTCAATCATCATCAAGTGCGTTACTGACTGGCGTGGGCGATCATACCTCTCCACAAATGCGATCCACAACTGTGTGTAACAGTTCATGTGTTGACACCCCTCCATGCCATGACAAAGACCGTCAAGAATCTTTTTATGCTGTCTTCCTCTGTATCTCTTTCCAGATTTATTTCCAGTGGTCAGAACATTCAGGTATATAAATTATCCATGAGAAAAACTTACTTTGAAAAATAAAACTGCATCTGCTTCCTAATAGGTGCAAGAACTTCATCCGGGTACTCGTATTCTGTTAGCAAACAAGGAAGGGAAAGTCAAGAGTTAACCAGCAAATAATCTCAATACGTAGTTATTATGGAGACATTACACACATTAAGTAGATTAACTAATCGAGAGAAGCAGAATTATATTATGATCAGTTTGTTTGTCCTCTCATGGAGCCAATAGGCTTGTTGATTGTGATCCACTGTTTGTCCTCTTGTGGGATTAACAGACTTGTAAATCATAATCTATGTTTGTCCTCTCACTGAGCTGACAGATCATGATCCACTAGTTTCACCTCTTATGGAGAGGGCAAACAGGGACGACCCGATCAACCGCCTGTTTGTCCATTTTTGGAGCCGGCAGACTTAAAGGAAGGACATGATCCGCAGTTCATCTGAAAGAAATGAATGACCTGATCTGCTGTTCGTCCTCTCACGGAGCTGACAACCCTGAAAGACAACTTCCACGATTGATGAAGCAACTGTAGTATAGTGGCTAGCTAATTTTTCTAAGTTCAAATCCCTATTGACAAGATAAGGAATTCTAAACAGAAAATAGGGGTACGAGGTTGATCTAGCCTCAAAAATATACTATACTGTCCACTTGCATAAAAAAATATACTGCGATCTTCTTTACGTCCTTTTCGGGGCGTAATTTTGTGTTATTTGAAGCCTCACTCTGGCTTTTGCCAGGGGCCGCAATATAGGCAGGCCATCAATATGGCTAATTGTCTAAACGCAGTTTCTGGGACCTCTCCACGGTGATCCTCATCCACATGGTGGCACTTTGTGTCATCGGGTGTTTATCGCTTGTGTGATGTCCTAGTGGGGTAGAAAGTCAGTCAGTCACTTGCATTTAAAAAAAAATCACATCAACAATTTACTGCCAAATGGCTGAAAGTTTTGTGATCAACATTATGTGTCTATCTTTACTTCCCAGGGCCAGTCCTGCTACTCAGATGATGACAATTCTACAAATCTGCCCTTAGCTTAGCAGGCAAATGTTTAGCCACTACATCACCTAAAGACCTACAGATCTGAATCGCATAATGGTAGATGTGCTTTACCTTGGCCTCCCATGGCACCTTCCAGCTCCTCCTGTTCCCCAACACTCTCAAAGGGCACCTCTCCCACACCAGCAACACCTGCTGGTGGACTATCATCTGTCTCCTCAGTGCCTAAGGACAGAAACATTACTGTGTGAATCTATCACTTGTGGCTAGCCCACTTCTGTGTGCATGTGTATGTATGAAATACTTTGCAACACGTTCGGTTTCTTCAATTTACTCTTAAAGGGGGACTGGCAAATGGTGTTGTGACTTACAAGGAGGCTGTGATATCTGTGAACAAAAATCATCGAAGGAAACACCTCTAATTAGTGTCCTTTTACAGCATGACAGTGGGGCAGGGTTCCCCCCCCCCACCCCCCCCCCCAAGATAGGGCCCCAGAACCCAGATGGAGAACCATCAATTATGAGGTTAGAGGTTTGAACTACAGATCAACATCATGGCACACGGGTAGTAACCTATAAGTGCTCTGTTCTTCTTTCAACTCAAGTCTGAGTCCGAAGAAGCTTAGCACAGTGCACAGGCTCTGTAGCACCGGCAAGGACCCTGAAATACTTTGGGTAGATTTTTAACTCCAAATCTTGCCCGGGCAGCGGCCTTAGGCTACTCTTTTCAATTTCCAACTGCCAACGGATTTTTAACGTGTGCAACAATGCACACATGCATCCGAGACCAGGGAAAATTACTAGAAGTCCAAGTCCACATGGAAACAACAAAATCCAGCCCTTACCGGGGATTGAACCAGGAACCTCTAGCACGTGAGGCAGACACCATGCCTTGAGACCACGCAACCCCCTACCAACAATTATAAACAAAGAAGACGGCGATATATTGGGCACAGCTTGAGAAGTGAAAAGAGAACCATCAAACAGGCACCAGCATGAAAAACAAATTGACTGAAGAAGCAAGCAAGACATCCAAGAAAAACCCTGAGACGAATGTTGAACAGAAAGGCCAAGTACTGAAAAATGCTGGCCTGAGCTCCACCCAATGTATCAACAACAACAGAACTGTACAGGATAGGTTGGAATGAAGAAACATACTGAGCCACAAGAGATAAATAGCACCAAGACCGATGATGATGATGAGCACATCATAACCAGCTTTCATGACTATACTATTGTTTTATTCTGCATTCGTCTTTGAAAACTCAGCTGGCTGGCTTGTGATTTACAGCCAGGCTGCGAAATATGTGCCTTTCTGCCTAACACATCATGTTTTCAGAAAATCCCTAATTAATCGCCTTTTGTGACATGCTTGTTAGTAAGTTGGCTGTGGTCTACTCCTTTTCCTCAACAAAGTGCGGCTCCTGGAACCTACACAGGAATATATCATTGTGACAGTATTTAACTTACCACTTGGCAGCAGATTCTGGCTGGAGGCTTCAACTGGCTGCTGGACTTGCTGGCCGCCCAAACTCTCTGCCACACCCATGACACAGCCAGGCTGCTGCTGCTGCGTGGTTGCCACAGGCTGAAGGCTGCTCTGGGGGCTGGCCGTCAACAAGGGACGCGGGGCTACAGCCAGCCCCATGGGTGCAGTGCTTTGTGGGCCCTGGGCCGGGTGTGCCCCAGCTCCAGAAGGCATCCCCGCATTGCTCCCAGCGAACGGCACCATAAAGTTTGTGCCGTTGGCGCTAACATCTCCATTAGTCAACAGACCTGCAGAAAACAGGACTACAGGTTAAGAACTCACAGGCAGGGAAGAAGGTAAATGTCATCTCATAGCCAATATTGCTGCTGGCATGTTACATTTTATGAGCAAGTCAAGTAAAGATAACGGCACCAGCTAGAACGGAATAAAAGAATAAACTGTCAGGCTTATGTGACCTACAATGGCACAACAGAATGACAATGATGCTGATAAACAGAGGAAATTTTTTTATGTCAGCAGAGCACGGGCTAAAATATGCTAGACTTATTTGTTCAACAGACTAATCAGCACTTAATGGGTGATGGGGTCAACATAAGACTAGTTACTTTCACTTCCCATGATATTTCCAGGTGACCTTCTTAGATCTGGGCTGACCAGAGAGCCAAGGTGAACTTAAGAAACAAAATCTGCCCTGGAATGATTTCTAACTTTCATGACGGCAAAAAAAAAAAAAAAGCATCTTGCCACAGTAGTTCTAATTAAGTTCTAGACCTTCAAATATTAAAGGCCAGACACCGGCAACCTACAGCACATGTAGACACTGTGGCACAAAGAACAATTTTCAATGGCACACTAAAAGGACCGAAATACAGTATAATTAAATAAAAGAGTCAGCGTCTGTGGCTAAGGTGTTGTGAACGCGCTTTGTAATGAGTTAGTTTTGACAGTGGTCCCGGGAAAAAACTGCTCAGAAAGCAACAGCAAACAACTGAACTTAACATCTGCCTAGAAAAACCACAATCCACAACAAATTCTGAGATTGGTTCTGCAAACGTCCTGTAAAGGATACGCAATTTACTTTTAACTTAACAAAAGCACTTAATTCTTTCAAAGACCATAACATTTTACTTCAGGCATCATCGTCACCCAAATCCAATTTTGCAATTAACTCTTTTAGTACTAAAAGATGCTCAAGACTGACTTATTAACTAATTTAACTCACCTCTGGTGCGAAGACAGTTGGGGGGGGGGGGAGACGATGACACACTGTCCAGTGCATGGTGGGGAGGGACAGTGTGCAGTCCAGTGGTTGGTGGGAACACTGGCCATTATTAATTCGGTGTGGATTTTCAATGTCATTACCCCATCCTCTCATTTAACGCCCTCTTGCTCTAACATCTGGCGCGCGCGCACACAAACACACTCTCTCTTTCTCTCTCTCTTTCAAATTCTGTATTATTCCTGACAAAGCTTGTCGAAAAATCTATATTTCTTGTCTAAGACTGTCCAATCCATTATTAGTTCTCTTATTTCTTTCTCAAACTGTCAAAGTCTTCTACATAAACCTAACACTGTCTAAGTCAGTCATTTCCATCTAATACTTTCAAAGTCCTCTATTTCATTCCAAGTCCTGAATACCCTGTCCCGAAGTACCTAACTTCCTGACACATTTGACGACAAATATAAGACAAAATAAACATCAAAGTTCAACTGCTAATGAAACCATCATGCCAAGACAAATGTAACTTTCACAATAATAAACAGCCATTTCCACTTCTCAAAGTGAAAACAAAGCATACACTTCCATTCCATGCACACATTAGCAATATTAAAACCCAACCAACCATGAAACTGTTTCTAACAAACATGGTTTTAAACAAGCCAGGACAGCTACAGCATCAGAGAAACAAACACTGCAAACTCAAAACAAAACCACTTCCACCGATTAATTTTTCTGGCCTTTTATATTATTTTTAAACTGTAATTATTTCCTGAAGTGCCAACCTGGCAAGAAGAGACAACGCAACAGCATAAGCACTCAGAAGCTTTGCATCTGGCACATTTTCAATTACAGAAGGAAAAGTGCAACAACCACTGGCAATTGTTTGCATTGTAAAATCTTTCGCTGCAACTGTTGGTGTGGTTAAAAATGTTATCTCTAACAATACGAGAATGTAGCTTTCATTTCATTAGCAAATGTAATGACAGAAAAAGACATTCTGTGACTAAATATAACAAGACAATACAACTGTTTAAAAAACTAAATGTAACAAAAGAAGACCGATTTGTGACTAAATGTAACAACAGGTGAATATAGCTTTCCTTAATTAAATGTAAAAATGGGATAATATTGCTTCACCATGGTGACTCGGCTAGACATTGCCAAACCTAAATGTATCACACAGCTAAAAAATGTATGTTTAGGACATCAGGATTTCATATAAATAAAGAAGAAAAACTTTCAGGAACTAAAAAATGTGAACAGAAAATGGCCTGTAATAGTAACAACAATGTTTATCAGCCATACAACAGCAGAACAGACAACATAAATGGCTTGACAACTAGACAGTTCCTACAGAAAGTAGGCCACACACCTGGTGTCCTTGTATCTGCCCCTAGGTAGGAACCATCCGTGGGAGACTTCTCTCCTCCTGGAGAATGGTGGAACGCTGGTGCTGATGGGTTGAGATTCTGTGGGGAGGTGGGAGCCTGCAGGATCAACATGGAGAAAGACATTCAAACAAAGCAGGTGAAGTCAGTGAGTAAAGGACCATCTTTTATGCATTTAGGCGTACTGGGCATATGGTGCTCTGGACCTATATCTTATAGACCAATCAGCACTCGTTTGGTGTTTTACTTCCCAGTACTTCACCTGGTACCCATTTAAAGCTGCATCGACCTGGCAGCCAAAGTAATTTTTGAAAGAAGTAACTCTGTTAGAATTTGAGCCCAAGACCTTCTGATCTGCAGGCGAGCGTGTAGCCACTACACCACAGCAGCTCCCATACAAACAAAGCAGCAAGAATATGAGCAATAGTTCGCTTTCTCCAGTTACTTGAGGGAAGATATTCTTTTTCTGTGTGCTCTTTCTGTGTGTCCATATTTTCAGTGGTCTTTCCCGTACTCTGTGCTTATATTTTCTTCTTCTACTCTTCTAAGCATTTGCTGGCTGTGTACTCTGGCAAAACGAACTGGTTGTTTGTCCACTTCTGGACTCTGGTCTTGTTCCAGAACCCGAGCTTTGCATGTGCACTAATTTAAGAGATCTGGTTTATTTATATGCAGACTGTTGGTTCTTTGCCTTTCAGGCTGATGCACTCTCACTTCAGAGAAAAAACTCCTAATTAGTCACCTTTTATAACACTCTTGTTAAGGGAGAGGGCAATGTGTCTATTCTTTTCTTTTTCCTTCTCCCAAAATGGGGCCCTGGTACCTACACAGGGATATAATATTATCTCAGTTTTGTATCCTTCTGAGGCAAAAAAAAACCAGGTGGCTGAATACACACACCAAATTCTCTCCTCAAGACTTGCTTTATAGCCTTTCTAGACAGTGTATAAATTCAGACTAAGGACAGGGCATAAGAGAAGAAACTTAGTCAACATATGTTCAAACTTGTCGGTGTAGGAGACATGTCCCTGTAACTTGGCATCAGCAAACGCTGAGCATGTGCTTCAACACTGTCAATTGTATGCTGCCAACGGATACGTAATCTGGCCTGTTCCAAGCACACTGAAGTCAAAACTTTATGGTACATGAGGAGATATGGACTGCACAATAGCTTTCATAAAGACTACTGGCCTCCTGATATAAGTTTTCTGACAAAGGGAAAGGAGGAGGAGGAGGAGAAGAAGAAGAAGATTAATTCTATGACTGGTTTTAGTCTCTCATCTTCGTCATCAACACCTTGTCATGCCATTATACCTCAGTGATTATGTTTTATTTTCAGTTTCCGGGGAAAAGATGCTCAGCTGAACACCAGAAATCCAACAGTAAAATCACTGAAGTCAAGCCTATGAAAGGAAAGAAATAAACTGCAGCAGATCCAGAGGTGGAACACACAAAAAAAGCAGCATCGAAGAGAGAGCGTCTAGTGGTATATAAACATTAAGGCCAAACTTGTGTAGAGAGCTAAATTACTAAAGAGGTGAGGGGAAGATGTTGGTACTGGAGAAGACAAACACTAAGAACACAAGATAATAACAGATCTACTTACAGCCTGGCCCTGACGGAAGGCAGGTGCTGAAGGATTGAGGTTCCTTGGAGATGTTGATGTCTGAAAACAGAGAAACAATAGCTTATGAAAACTCTTCAACGTCTGAAATATGGAAACTTGTGGCTACAGTGATCAATGTCTGAAATAACAGAGAAACATCAACGTTTCAAAACTCTATCAAGGTTTAATATATGGAAACTACTAACTTATGACTACTGCCATTAGTGTATGATACAATAGAGAGAAAAAACACATGACAGAAGAAACTGCTGTCTGAAACAGAAACTGCTGCTGTGTGATGAAACTGAAATAAGAGAAACAATAACAGGTTATTTGACCTTAGCTCCAAGATCCACTTTCTCTTCTGCCTTTCATTCTCCATTTAGCACAGGCCCTCAAACAACTCATTTGTCCTAGACTCTGCAATAGCATTTGGCTTATGTGATGTTTTCCCTATTCTTTTAACCTCCCTCTCTAGTTCCCATCCTATACTATCTAGTGCCAGTTTCTGTTCTTCACCTCTGGATTCACTGGAATGTGTTTTGTTCTCTCCCAAAGCTCCACATTAGTGATATTATCAAATCATTTTTAATTCCCTATTCACACAGGCACCAATTAATGAATGAATGTTTGTTAGCCAGTGGTTTTGTATCATGAGTATGAAGACTTTGCTGGCTGTTGACAAGGGAGGCGGGAGCTGATATGGCCTGAGTACTGACTGCTGTGATGTTAAATTTTTACCCACATGAACCCATATGTTTACTAGCTTATAAAATGGGTGCTGGGAGATGTAATGGGAAGAAAGGGGAACTTCGTGACACTGACTACATCACATGTACATCTCAAACATGTGTATTCACACACACACACACGTACGCGTATGCACGTACGCGCATGCACATGCACACACACACACACAGGGCTAGAGCTATATGCCCATTCTGACGTCATGTTATGAAAAATCCCCCAGGCGTGTGGATTCAAACCCAAGACCCTAAAGCAAAGCGTCTAGACACTGTACCACTGACACCAATAGCATCAAATGAACGAAGAAATCAAACGCTAGAATCAATAGCCAGCCTAATCTCATGCACAATCAGCAAGTCGGGTACCCGCTACCGCATGGGCAGGTTAATTGATACTAAAGTGAGATCTTGCATGATCTTACATCTGGCAAAGCAAGGGTTGCTAATGGAAGCGTTTCCCCGTCAAACCCTCTGTGTATCAGAATTGGTTTCCTGGGGTGGGCGGTTTTAGAAATAGATCTTTTTCGTGACATTTAGCAGTGGTAGAAGATTCGCACCGTGGAAAAGACTGAGGACTAGCCATGTAATATTCCCATAAATGTTTCAGCTGACGGGAAAGGCAGTAACAGTTTCCTTATCATTTGTTCGCTATTCGTGAACTAATGAACAAATGCGGAATGCGTGTGTATAGTCAGCTAAAAGACCAATGAATGATGCAAGCAATGAACGGTGCCGGCAATGGCCAACAGATGACTTTTTCCAGCCAATGGGCGGTTTATTTTGGAATAGCCCTCGTAAGTGGCATGATCCATGGGAGAAGAGCAAGGGAAAGGCAAAGATGTAAGAACTTTAATGGCTTGGTCACAAGAATTAAGGAAGAGCAGGAGGAGCAGCAGCAGCAGCTAAAGAAGAAAAGAAAAATGAGGTAAAAGACGACGGAACAAATACAAAAATACATAGCACAACCAGCCACTGGCTTAGCACTAGACAGTACACCAAAGTAGTCGTGTAGCCGTCACGGGTGCCCTAACTAGTAAAAGTAGCTGTTGTAGTTGTAGAGAGGGAAAATATCTGAAGTCATATATATGATGGTTAGTAGTAATTTGCAGCAGCAGCAGCAGCAGCAGCAGCAGCAGCAGCAGCAGCAGTAGTAGTAGTAGTAGTTATAGTGGTAGTAGTAGCAGTAGCAGAAGAAGAAGAAACTTAAGACAAAACAGCAGGTATTTTTGAAATTGTAATAGACCTGCAATATGCAGCAGCAGAAGCAGCAATGGTAGTATGGATTGTGGCTGTAGCTGAAGCAACAGTGGTATGATGGGTTGTGGCGGTAGCTGAAGCAACAGTGGTAGTATGGATTGTGGCGGTATCAGAAGCAACAGTGGTATGATGTGTTGTGGCGGTAGCTGAAGCAACAGTGGTAGTATGGATTGTGGCGGTATCAGAAGCAACAGTGGTATGATGGGTTGTGGCGGTAGCTGAAGCAACAGTGGTATGATGGGTTGTGGCGGTAGCTGAAGCAACAGTGGTATGATGGGCTGTGACGGTATCAGAAGCAACAGTGGTAGTATGGATTGTGGCGGTATCAGAAGCAACAGTGGTATGATGGGTTGTGGCGGTAGCTGAAGCAACAGTGGTAGTATGGGTTGTTTCGGTAGCTGAAGCAACAGTGGTAGTATGGGTTGTTTCGGTAGCTGAAGCAACAGTGGTATGATGGGTTGTGGTGGTAGCTGAAGCAACAGAGGTAGTATGGGTTGTGGCGGGGCGGGGCGGGGGCGCTAGAACTTTCTTCACGCCGCTAGCGGAACTTCTACGACATCAGTGGAAAAACCAGCCTATTACCAGAAATTCTGATTGGGTCGACGACGAAAAAAGAAAAAGAAAGAAAAAGAAGAGAATGAAAAAGATGAGATTAATGAAACAGGGGAACAAAAATAGAGAGTATGATAAAGCAGATAAGTAAAAATAAGAAAAGGTAAAATTAAATATATATATAAAACAACGAGAGTACGATTGCTTGAAGAAGAAGCAGAATTTTTATTTCGTTTCAAAAAATAAAAACCGAATTTATTTGGAGACATGTAAACACATTTGTGGAGGGGAGCGGGGGCTGAGAAGTGGCCAGTCTGACAAACAATCACCTCGGGTCAAGGCCGCAAATGACGTCTGGTGCGTTAGTATTTTTAGCAACAGACGTAATCTCTTTCTTTTTTTTTTTTTCTCTCTCAATTCATATTTTCGGGGTTTTAGTTGCTTTGCTTTCCTTATACCCGCTGAGACGACATTAATCGGTACACATTTTATTTTGTTTTCATCATTACCATGGAACTATTACTGACGTGTGCAATGGGAAACACGAATGAAGACTTCTCCTAAAAGGCGCGCCGACGAAAAGAAAAAAAGGGGGAAGGTATCGACCGCTTACACATCTGACAAGGACCTTTTAAAACGCATAAACCTTGTTAGGCGAACAATTTGACTAATCGGCAGACTATTCCAGACATCTTTCTCAACTTTCTCCAGCGCCCTAGCGGTACTAGGACACTGAAACAATACTCCGCCTACCCAATTAACATTTTTTTCGTTTCTTTCTTAACCAACAAATTGCCAGGTTATCCACTTCATACGGCTTGCTTGACTACGGAGCTATACCGACAAGCAAAAAACTCCCGCCACATCGACTGGTGGGGAGCCGAGGTAGATTGCCGTCACTAATGTCTTCATATTCGTAACAAGTGGCACTTTTTTAACATGGTTTTGGCTCCCGCGTCAACCCTAACTAACTTGTGTGCCAAGTAAAAGAGGCCCCGGCGTGAGGTTAACATTACCTATCAAGTGCCATTGGTCTAGTCTACAAAAACATGAGTTCAGCTTCGCACGCCAGATGAGCCAGTGTCGTACAAACAGGACTTTTTCTACAAGCCATGGCGATAAATCCAGTTGCAGCTGCTGCCATACTGGGATTGTGGATGTGTTCGGATTATAGCTTTATTTATTAAGGTTGGGGTGGAGGAATGGGGGTGCGACGCCAAAACTCGTGGTCACATATCCCGTTGGCATACAGGGATCATAGATGCTGGCTTCGTAGCTGTGCCGGAATCGTACCTGGGTTTGACAAATGGCTATAGGTTATTTTTGCGGTTGAGATTATGGCCAAATTAGGATCGCTCCCGAATTTTACGCATGGCTATGTTGAGTTGCGGTTGAGATTATGGCCAAATTAGGATCGTTCCCGAATTTTACGCATGGCTATGTTAGGGTTGCGGTTGAGATTATGACCAAATTAGGATCATGTCCGGGTTTGACGCATGGCTATGTTAGGGTTGCAGTTGAGATTATGACCAAATTAGGATCATGTCCGGGTTTGACGCATGGCTATGTTAGGGTTGCAGTTGAGACAATGGCCAGATCGGGATCGTACTTGGGTTGACACATCACTAGAGTGCGATCATGGCTGTGTTGGGATCGTAGCTGGCTTAGCACGGGATCTGGGTAGCAAAAAACCTGCCCCATGTGGTGGCGAAATTATCTATACAGCAGGCTGGAGTACATCGGAAGATTCAACCACCGCATATGTCGCAATCATATCCCGTTTCTTCCCACGATGTAACTCTTTCTATTTTTACAAAAAGAAAGCAACATTGTGGGAGGAACGACTTCATGGAATCACGTTTCATCTCACACAGCTCTGCCGGTCTTCGACTAGCCGTCAGTCAAAAGCGTCACACAAAGAACGGAATTCCGTAGCTACAGCGAAGATCCCGTAAGTTTCGAGAAAAGAATTATACCTGTGGAACTGAGCTGCATAGGACGTGAAACGAACCCGCGACCTATGGAGTGCGAATCAAACGGCTCGACCACTTAGTCAAGCAGACCTTCTGGTCATATTTAAAACATTCCGTCTTTAAGAAATTTGCACATGCACACTCACACACCCACAAATAAAGGTATACTCGGCTTTCTGAATTGCTCTTCCCCCCCCCCCCCCGTATCGCTCTCTCTCTTCCCCTTTTCCTTTACCTATCTATTCATCCATCTATATATCCATCGATCCATCCATTCATCATCCATCTCACCGCCCGTCCACCCATCCATCTACTTATCTATATTAATCAAACAACATGCCTACCTATCAATCTCACTCCCTTCTACTCACTCATATCTCTCGGGTAGAAGCTGGGTTATCCGTGACCTTCGGTAGTGGGTTATCCAATCGCCTGGGACAAGGTGCACAATTTGCAGGGCCTGTGCGCACGTCAGGTATCCCTTCTCTGTTGGGAACCCACAACATTAGGTCGAACAGGGCCGTCGGTCAGG